GAAGAGAAGAAACAATAAAGGAAGGGAAGGAGGGAGGATACAAAATTCAAGCAGGAAGGGATAATGATAACCTCATTTTACTCACTGTAGTATTTATAGTGATTGTCTTTGCAGAATTCAGAGTAGCTAGAGATGTTGTTCAGTGGTAGAGTGCTTTGCCAGCATGCACAAGGCCCTGGGTTTGGCTCTAACACCACACACACAAAGACACACACACACACACACACGCACACACACACACACACACACACTCAAAATAGTTCCATAAACTTGATAAATTACATTATCATTGTTGAGTTACCTTAAAAATGTCATAAATGCTATACCCAATGGTTGCACACCTGTGATCCCAGTGACTGGGGAGGCTAAAGAGGGAGGATCACAAGTTTAAGGCCAGCCTCAAGAATTTGGTGAGAACCTATCTCAAAAATTAAAAAGAAGGGTTAAGGATGTAACTCACTGGTAAAGCCACTCTGGGTTCAACCCTCAGTATTCCACACCCCCCCCCCATAAAATATGTCACAGACGTTGTTCTATTTTTAGGCCTTACACCTCATTGCCACCAATGGAGCGCCAGGACTTTCGAACCCAGAAAAAATTTCCCCGGCATTCCTGGACTTCTTGAATAAATGTCTTGAAGTGGATGTGGACAAGAGAGGTTCAGCCAGGGAATTACTAGAGGTAAATTTGGAAATGATGCAATTTGGGGGAAATATTGACTCTTTTTGAATAACCAACAGAAAGTTTTCATTTCACTGTTCATTGATCACTACCAATAAGCAGCTGCTACATTTTAGGGTTTCATCTGCCAGGAGTAAAAGTTTAATTTCATGATAGTTTGTTGTGGTATATTATCAAATATCAGGTCCATTCAATGCTGGTGTGAGTGTATTAATGGGCTGTTTAACTGTCGATTTTTAGAATTTAGAACAATTAAAAACAACTGTTTTCAAAAAAGCTTATGAAAGTTATGGTTGTGACTATGAGAGGTTTGGGCAGGTATTAAAATTTGGGTTGTTTAAGTCAATTGTATTCATAAGTAGTCTTCAGGCCTTAGTTGAAAGAACATGTTTTGCTTCTAAATTATGCACTTTTTGTTTCCTTTCTTTGGCAGCACCCATTCCTGAATATGGCGAAACCACTCACAAGTTTAACGCCACACATCTTGGCGGCCAAGGAGGTTCTCCAGAAAAACTACTGAAATGCCATCCTATTCTTTTTTGTGTGTTTGGAAACAGATGTTTATTAACATACCATTTTTAAAAAATTAAATGCCTTAAACAAAAAACAATACCATAAAGTGAAAGACCTGGTAGCATGCAAATACTTCAGGTTGGAGAGGCATGTTTGCTCTTGATGAATGTACATATAATAAATTCCTATGACATTTGACTCCAAAATTAATGTACGAATCAGTTGGACATGATTATATGACTAATATTTTAAAGTAAAGCATAATCTTAAAGGTAATTTAAACACTGGCATTAATCTACAGGAGTCCATTCAAGGTCAGTGACCGGAGAGCTATATAAAAAGAACACAGTGCCTATGTACATCTGTAAGTTTCAGGCTCAGCTTCTGCTTTTGACGAACCTGATTCGGAAAAGGATGTATAACATCCATTACATACCTGTTTCAAACACAGTCTGTTTCTAAAATTACACATCTCTTTGCAAATAAATATCAACTATTAATAGCTAAAAGATGCCACTGGGATGGGCTCCAAAGTCTGCTGTTCTCATGGCCACCCCGAGACATATTTTAAGGCATCATTTTTAATCTTGGGGCTTTAAGAACATCTTCTTTGCTTTAACTGGTTCTATGTCTCCAATTCCATCTTCTTCATAATTGACATGGTCTCTTTTCTTGGCAAACTTTTTTCCAGTTGTCCCCCCAAGATCTCATATCTTCTAGCCATTTCCTCACCTGACACATCAAGCTCTACTATTTCATCTTCATCTTCATCTTCGGCTTTATTCGTAGCATTCCTCTGAAGCATCAGTTTCTCAACTTCAGGATTAAATCCTCTGAATGACATGCCTCCACACAGATCTTCACACTAAAGAAGCTCTGCTCCTCTCTTATGACACCCTCTTTCTCTTTAAGCTCTGGCAAATCCAAGTTCCCGTGCTCTTCACTGATGATCTTCTTTTCTTCTTCCTCTAGTTGTTTTTTGGTTTCTGAGTCCAGTCCCCTTTGCATGAACTTCATGCACATCAGGTTCTTTCATGAAGTTGGTCTTGCGTTCAGCCGCCATGCTGGCTGCAGCTGCTGGCATCCTATTCTTTAATCTTCTGAAAAGAAAAATTTTTGAAACTTTATTATAATAAAGTGTTTATTGTTGTAAAAGACTTGTACCATAAAATTTGCCCTTTTAGCCATGTTAAGTGGACAACTCAGAGGCATTAATTACACTCACAATATTGTACAACCTTCTGTTTCCAGAACAGTTTTGTCCCTCCAAACAGAAGCTCTGCGACCATGTAAGTAAGAACTTCCATTCCTCCTCCTCCACCCCTGGCTGCCACCATTCTTTTTTTTCTTTTTCTTTTATTTGTTCTAATTAGTTATACATGGCAGTTGAAGGCACTTTCACACATCATACACAAATGGAGTATAGCTTCTCATGTTTCTGGTTGTACGTGATATAGAATCACATCAGTCATGTGGTCACACATGCACCTGGGGTAATAATGTCTACTCTTCTTCCTACCCCATACCTGGCTCCCCTCCTTTCCCTCCCCTCTGCTTAATCCAAAGTGACTTTATTCTTCCATAGCCACGCTCCTTATTGTGAATTAGTGTCAAAATATCAGAGAAAACATTTAAACTGTGGTTTTTGGAATTGGCCTATTTTGCTTACTGTAATATTCTCAACTTTCACTCATTTACTGGCAGATACCATCACTTCGTTCTTCTTTAAAACTGAGTAATATTCCATTGTGCATATTGACCACATTTTCTTTATCCGTTCCTCTGTTGAAGGAAACCTAGGTTGGTTCCATAGTAAAACTCTTGTGAGCTGAGCTACTTTATAGCATTGATGTGGTTGCATCACTGTAGTATGCTGATTTTAAGTCCATTGAAAATAGACTGAGAAGTGGGATAACTGGGTCAAATGATGGTTTCATCCCAAGTTTTCTTAGGAATCTCCATACTGCTTTCCATGCTGGTTACATCAATTTGCAGTTCTACCAGCAATCTATGAGTGTGTCTTTTCCCCCACATCCTCACCAACTTTAAGTTTTGCTTGTCTTCTTGATAATTGCCATTCTGACTGAAGTGAGATGAAATCTGAGAGTAGTTTTGATTTGTATTTCTTGAATTGCTAGAGATGTTGAACATTTTTTTCACATATTTGTTGGTGCATCTTCTGAGAATTGTCTGCTCGGTTCCTTAGTCCATTTATTGATTGGGTTATTTGGTTTTGGGGTGTTAAGATTTTTGAGATCTTTATATATCCTGGAAGTTAGTGCTCTATCTGATGTGCGTGTAGTAAAGATGTTCTGCCACTCTGTGGGCTCTCTCTTCACATTATTGATCATTCCCTTTGCTGAGAAGAAGATTCTGAGTTTGAATCCATCCCATTCATTGGTAAGGAATATCGTTTTATGGCCCAGAATGTGATCTGTTTCAATGAAAGTATGAAGTGCCCTTAAAGGGAACAGGAGTTCTGTAGTTGTTGGGTGTTGTATTCTATAAAGTCAGTTAGGCTGAGGTAGTTGATACTGTTCCTCCAACCTTCTATTTGCCCATTTAATGTATTTACTGAGAGACAGGTATCAAAATCTCCCACAATGGTTGGTAACTGTTTCTCCCTTTCATTCTGTTGATATTTGCTTTATATATTTTGAAGCTCTGTTACTAAGTGCAGGAGTATTAATTATTGTCAGATCTTTCTTCAGGATTTCTATTTATGGTAATACTTTTGCAGTTTATTTTATCTGATATTAATACAGCAGTTCCAACTTTTCATTCTTCATTTTTGCATTATTATTTTCCTGACTTTTTAACTTTCAATCTATCTATATCTTTAGATTTTAAGCACATCTCTTGTAGACATGATTAAGTCTTGATTTTTTAACCCATTCTGATAATCTCTGCCTTTTAACTGGGTGTTTAATTCATTCTGTCCAATGTATTACTGATATATTTGGACTTAGACCTCATATTTTGCTCTTTGTTTCCTGTTTCTACCATCTGACCTTGGTCTTCTGTTCTTCCTTTTCTGTAATCTTAAATTTTAACCATCAACTTAAGAGTTAATGTTTTTATTTAAAACGTAAAAAACTTCTAAGGCCATCATTTTTTTTGGCACTAAGGGGGTACCCAGGGACACTTAATCACTGAACCACATCCCTAGCCCCCCCTTTTTTAATTTTTAGAGACAGGGTCTCAGTACATTTTTTAGGGCCTTGCTAAGTTGCTGAAGCTRGCTTTGATACTCCTGCCTCAGCCTGAGTCTCTGGGATTGCAGACACATGCCACCACACTTGACTAGTCCATACTAATTTTAACCTCCTCTTATATGCTACAGTTTTGACAAGAATTCCATTTCCATACCTGATAAACCCCACCATACGATGCTGTCATTTTTCTTTAAACTGTAGGATATTTTTAAATGAATTAAGAGAAAATGTGATAGTTTGAAACTATGCTCCTGCATAATTTACATAGTTACCATTTCTGGCACTCAAATCTTTCTGAGGACCTGATTATCTACTGGTACCACTTTCCTTTAGTCCAGAGACCTTTATTTAGTGTTTCTTGGAGTACAGGTCTGCTGGTGATGGGTTCTCCCAGCATTCCTTTATCAGAAATTATCTCCATTTTCTCTTAATACTTTATATATGTATTTCAATATATAAAGTATATACACATATAAAGTATATACATATATACACACATTATATGTATTCATGTTTATGTAGTCATTTGGTTTTTTTGGCTTGATATAGAATTCTGGTTTGACAATTTTTCCTTTCAGCTCTTGTTTAAAAAAATAAACTTTTTTATAGAACAGTTTTTTTATTTAAAGAAAAATTGCATAGATATAAGGACATAGTTCTCCTATGTTCTACACCCAGCTGGCCTTATTATTACACCTTTTGTTAGTATGGCACACTTATTCAAATTGATGAACCAGTATATTCTGGAGAGATGATGGAGAAATAGTACACCACTGAGGTCACTTCTTTTTTCAAATTTTTCATAGAATTCACCAGCAAAGCCAACGAAACCCGATGTTTTATCTTTTAGAAGGTTATTAGCTTTTAATTTATTTTCCTTAATAGAAACAAACCTATGCACATTGTCTATTTCTCTCTGTGTGAGTTTGAGTAGGGACCCCATCATTTCAGCTGAATTATCAAATTTGAGGGCATAGAGTGGTTTGTAGTAACTTTTCTATTGTTTTTAATTTTATTGATTTTTCTTTTTTTTTCTTTTTGCTTGCTTTAGGCTTAAATTGCTCTTTTGCTTTGGCTTCTAAAATCTAGATTACTGTTTAGCTCCCTCTTCTCTCGTCTGTATCTTCAGTGCTATATTCCCCTAAGTGCACTAAATGCTTACACAGTTCATTGGATAAATTGTGTAATTTTGATAAATTGTAATTTCTTTTGTTCAATTCAAAACATTCAAAAATTACTCTTGAGACTATTTTTACTCATATGTTATTTACAAATGTATTATTGAATTCCCAAATATTTGGGAATTTTCCAGTTCTCTATTGGAGATTTTCAGCTTAATTTCATTGTGATATAAGAATATATTTTATTTGATTTCTAATCCCTTAAATTTATTGATGACTATTTTATGACACACAGGACATGGTGTGCCTTTCTGAATTTTATGTAAACTTGAATAGAATGTGTACTCTATTCTTTTGGGATAGAGTATTTTAGAATTCCAATAAGATCAGGTTGATTGACAGCACCATTCTGGTCAACTATATCCTTATTGATTTTCTGCCTGCTTCATCTATCAAGCCCTGACAGAAGTGTTTGAAAGTCTCCAACTGTAGTAATTTTGTCAATTTCTCCTTGAGTTATATCCGTTTTGGTGTCACATATTTAGATTTCTGTTGCTAAATGCTTACATATTTAGAATTGCTATGTCTTCTTGGAGTTTGTCCCTCTTTAT